GTCAGAGTCTAGAGTAGAGACCGGGTCTCAGGGTCAGAGTCTAGAGTTGAGACCGGGTCTCAGGGTCAGAGTCTAGAGTAGAGACCGGGTTTCAGGGTCAATGTCTAGATTTGAGACCGGGTCTCAGGTTCAGTGTCTAGAGTAGAGATCAGGTCTCAGGGTCTCAGTGTCTAGAGTAGAGACCGGGTCTCAGGGTCAGAGTCTAGAGTAGAGACCGGGTCTCAGGGTCAGAGTCTAGAGTAGAGACCGGGTCTCAGGGTCAGAGTCTAGAGTTGAGACCGGGTCTCAGGGTCAGAGTCTAGAGTAGAGACCGGGTTTCAGGGTCAATGTCTAGATTTGAGACCGGGTCTCAGGTTCAGTGTCTAGAGTAGAGATCAGGTCTCAGGGTCTCAGTGTCTAGAGTAGAGACCGGGTCTCAGGTTCTGTGTCTAGAGTAGAGACCGGGTCTCAGGGTCTCAGTGTCTAGAGTAGAGACTGGGTCTCAGGGTCAGAGTCTAGAGTAGAGACCGGGTCTCAGAGTCAGAGTCTAGAGTAGAGACCGGGTCTCAGGTTCTGTGTCTAGAGTAGAGACCGGGTCTCAGGGTCTCAGTGTCTAGAGTAGAGACTGGGTCTCAGGGTCAGAGTCTAGAGTAGAGACCGGGTCTCAGGGTCAGAGTCTAGAGTAGAGACCGGGTCTCAGGATCAGAGTCTAGAGTAGAGACCGGGTCTCAGGGTCAGAGTCTAGAGTAGAGACCGGGTCTCAGGGTCAGAGTCTAGAGTAGAGACCGGGTCTCAGGGTCAGAGTCTAGAGTAGAGACCGGGTCTCAGGGTCAGAGTCTAGAGTTGAGACCGGGTCTCAGGGTCTCAGAGTCTAGAGTGGAGACCGGGTCTGAGGGCAGTGTCTAGAGTAGAGACCAGGTCTCAGGGTCAGTGTCTAGAGTAGAGACCGGGTCTGAGGGTCAGTGTCTAGAGTTGAGACCGGGTCTCAGAGTCAGAGTCTAGAGTAGAGACCGGGTCTCAGGGTCAGTGTCTAGAGTAGAGACCGGGTCTCAGGGTCAGAGTCTAGAGTAGAGACCGGGTCTCAGGTTCAGTGTCTAGAGTAGAGACCGGGTCTCAGGGTCAGTGTCTAGAGTTGAGACCGGGTCTCAGGGTCAGAGTCTAGAGTAGAGACCGGGTCTCAGGGTCAGTGTCTAGAGTAGAGACCGGGTCTCAGGGTCAGAGTCTAGAGTAGAGACCGGGTCTCAGGGTCAGCGTCTAGAGTAGAGACCGGGTCTCAGGGTCAGAGTCTAGAGTTGAGACCGGGTCTCAGGGTCAGAGTCTAGAGTAGAGACCGGGTCTCAGGGTCAGTGTCTAGAGTAGAGACCGGGTCTCAGGGTCAGTGTCTAGAGTAGAGACCGGGTCTCAGGGTCAGCGTCTAGAGTAGAGACCGGGTCTCAGGGTCAGAGTCTAGAGTTGAGACCGGGTCTCAGGGTCAGTGTCTAGAGTAGAGACTGGGTCTCAGGGTCAGTGTCTAGAGTAGAGACCGGGTCTCAGGGTCAGAGTCTACAGTTGAGACCGGGTCTCACGGTCAGAGTTAAGAGTAGAGACCGGGTCTCAGGGTCAGAGTCTAGAGTTGAGACCGGGTTTCAGGGTCAATGTCTAGATTTGAGACCGGGTCTCAGGTTCAGTGTCTAGAGTAGAGATCAGGTCTCAGGGTCTCAGTGTCTAGAGTAGAGACCGGGTCTCAGGTTCAGTGTCTAGAGTACAGACCGGGTCTCAGGGTCAGAGTCTAGAGTAGAGACCGGGTCTCAGGGTCAGAGTCTAGAGTAGAGACCGGGTCTCAGGGTCAGAGTCTAGAGTTGAGACAGGGTCTCAGGGTCTCAGAGTCTAGAGTGGAGACCGGGTCTGAGGGCAGTGTCTAGAGTAGAGACCAGGTCTCAGGGTCAGTGTCTAGAGTAGAGACCGGGTCTCAGGGTCTCAGTGTCTAGAGTTGAGACCGGGTCTCAGGGTCAGTGTCTAGAGTAGAGACCGGGTCTCAGGGTCAGAGTCTAGAGTAGAGACCGGGTCTCAGGGTCAGTGTCTAGAGTAGAGACTGGGTCTCAGGGTCAGTGTCTAGAGTAGAGACCGGGTCTCAGGGTCAGCATCTAGAGTTGAGACCGGGTCTCAGGGTCAGTGTCTAGAGTAGAGACTGGGTCTCAGGATCAGAGTCTAGAGTAGAGACCGGGTTTCAGGGTCTCAATGTCTAGAGTTGAGACCGGGTCTCAGGGTCAGTGTCTATAGTAGAGACCGGGTCTCAGGGTCAGAGTCTAGAGTAGAGACCGGGTCTCAGGGTCAGTGTCTAGAGTAGAGACCGGGTTTCAGGGTCTCAATGTCTAGAGTTGAGACCGGGTCTCAGGGTCAGTGTCTATAGTAGAGACCGGGTGTCAGGGTCAGTGTCTAGAGTTGAGACCGGGTCTCAGGGTCAGTGTCTAGAGTTGAGACCGGGTCTCAGGGTCAGTGTCTAGAGTAGAGACCGGGTCTCAGGGTCAGAGTCTACAGTTGAGACCGGGTCTCAGGGTCAAAGTTAAGAGTAGAGACCGGGTCTCAGGGTCAGTGTCCAGAGTAGAGACCGGGTTTCAGGGTCTCAATGTCTAGAGTTGAGACCGGGTCTCAGGGTCAGTGTCTATAGTAGAGACCGGGTCTCAGGGTCAGAGTCTAGAGTAGAGACCGGGTCTCAGGGTCAGAGTCTAGAGTTGAGACCGGGTCTCAGGGTCAGTGTCTAGAGTTGAGACCGGGTCCCAGGGTCAGTGTCTATAGTAGAGACCGGGTCTCAGGGTCAGAGTCTAGAGTAGAGACCGGGTCTCAGGGTCAGAGTCTAGAGTAGAGACCGGGTCTCAGGGTCAATGTCTAGAGTAGAGACCGGGTCTCAGGGTCAGAGTCTAGAGTAGAGACCGGGTCTCAGGGTCAGAGTCTAGAGTAGAGACCGGGTCTCAGGGTCAGAGTCTAGAGTTGAGACCGGGTCTCAGGGTCAGTGTCTAGAGTTGAGACCGGGTCCCAGGGTCAGTGTCTATAGTAGAGACCGGGTCTCAGGGTCAGAGTCTAGAGTAGAGACCGGGTCTCAGGGTCAGTGTCTAGAGTTGAGACTGGGTCTCAGGGTCAGAGTCTAGAGTAGAGACCGGGTCTCAGGGTCAGTGTCTACAGTAGAGACCGGGTCTCAGGGTCAGAGTCTAGAGTAGAGACCGGGTCTCAGGGTCAGCATCTAGAGTTGAGACCGGGTCTCAGGGTCAGGGTCTAGAGTAGAGACCGGGTCTCAGGGTCAGTGTCTAGAGTAGAGACTGGGTCTCAGGGTCAGAGTCTAGAGTAGAGACCGGGTCTCAGGGTCAGCATCTAGAGTTGAGACCGGGTCTCAGGGTCAGTGTCTAGAGTAGAGACTGGGTCTCAGGGTCAGAGTCTAGAGTAGAGACCGGGTCTCAGGGTCAGTGTCTAGAGTTGAGACCGGGTCTCAGGGTCAGTGTCTAGAGTAGAGACTGGGTCTCAGGGTCAGTGTCTAGAGTAGAGACTGGGTCTCAGGGTCAGAGTCTAGAGTAGAGACCGGGTTTCAGGGTCTCAATGTCTAGAGTTGAGACCGGGTCTCAGGGTCAGTGTCTATAGTAGAGACCGGGTCTCAGGGTCAGAGTCTAGAGTAGAGACCGGGTCTCAGGGTCAGAGTCTACAGTTGAGACCGGGTCTCAGGGTCAGTGTCTAGAGTTGAGACCGGGTCCCAGGGTCAGTGTCTATAGTAGAGACCGGGTCTCAGGGTCAGTGTCTAGAGTAGAGACCGGGTCTCAGGGTCAGTGTCTAGAGTTGAGACTGGGTCTCAGGGTCAGAGTCTAGAGTAGAGACCGGGTCTCAGGGTCAGTGTCTAGAGTAGAGACCGGGTCTCAGGGTCAGTGTCTACAGTAGAGACCGGGTCTCAGGGTCAGTGTCTAGAGTAGAGACCGGGTCTCAGGGTCAGTGTCTAGAGTTGAGACCGGGTCTCAGGGTCAATGTCTAGAGTTGAGATCGGGTCTTATTCAGCTTGTGAATTTGCACCGAGCAATCTTCAACGATGTGCGCTATTGTCAGCCTTGCACCACAGCTACAGGCGAGATGACCCGAGAAAAGACGGTTCGGACGATCGTCCTCATGCAGGAATCCGCCGTACGGTAAACTGGCGTGCAGCGAGAATAAACAGAAGCCATTACCAGCCAAGTGTGGCTGTTTAATTCCTCCACAGCCCCGATGTACAATCGTGCAAAGTCAAAATAAAGTGATACATTGCAGATATGTTTCTGTGCATGTTTTCGAGGAGGGAGTGGGGTGTTCTTGTGAGTTGTGCGTAGTGGGTTTTGTTGTTGTTGACGTATCACTTTATTTCACGCTGCGTGAATAACGGGTTTTGTTTTTAAAGTCGCACTTTAATGTTGCTTATACAGAAGCTGTGGCCGTGCGCCCCCCCCCCACCTATGCCACCCGGCGCGGGACGAACCCATTCACAGGCGCGCACGGATAGACGTACGCGTAGTTCCTCGCTCAATTAAAAAACAAATATTCCGCGCACTTAGTTTAATGTATTACTCTTTTACATTTTAAAAAATAAATTAAGCGCGTGGTTATTGTATAAGTTTGACAACTTCGCCTGCTCACCCCCCCCCCGCCGCTATAAGTGGTCGTGGCCGAGAGGCGCGAAACCTGGGTCCCCGCGTGGCTCTGCACCACCTCGCGTCCCCATCAACAACAACATCAACAACAACACCACCATCATTGTCATTGTCACCATCAGCAACAGCATCGTCGTCATCGATACCATCGCCACTTTCAGAGTCAACGAAATCTGCACAGGCATCGCGAAGCACCATCACCAACTGCAACAACAACAACATCTTCATCTTCTTCAGCAGCAACAACAACAACAACATCATCTCTTCAAGAGCTGCGTCAGGTTTCGCGCTCTCTGCAGCATCGGCGGTGGTGGTGGTGGAGACAGAGGAGGAGGCGGAGGAGGAGGAGGAGAGGGCGGCGTGGGGGGGGGGGTGGGAGTCGGAGTCTGCGTGCGACTCAACCCGGGGTCCCAACTTAGACTTGGCGACTCTCGAAACCACTTCCAAGTCCCCGTGCTCCACCATGTCGGCCGCCGACTACAAACCCGGGGACCTCATCTTCGCCAAGATGAAGGGATACCCGCACTGGCCGGCCAGGGTCAGTTGCGTTGAGTTGCGCAGTCGACATAGACCGCCGCTGGGTCCGGAGTGAACCCCCCCGCGAACCACCCCCCCCCCCCGTGTTTCCTAGATTTTGTGCGGGAAGCCTGCGCCAGGCCGCCGGCTCGCTGAACCCCTGTACGCGGCGGCGGGAGTGCCCCCTTTATTGGGGGAGCAGGGCACAGGATCCAGGGTACGTGGGACACAGACAGCCCCCAGCCACCACCCCCAGCCACCACCACCCCCCCTTCACGGCGCCACTGATCGCCGGGGGCGTCCACCGGGGAGACGGAGCGATGAAATCAGCAGGTGCTTAGGGGTTGGGGAATGGTTAACGCCGCCGAATCGTGGCAGACTTTCCCCGGGCAGCTCCTTCGCTCTCTGGCGGAGGCCTTCATCCAGCAGTGGATTGGCCGTGGCCGCTTGTGACAGGGAAGGGTTAATGCCGAGTTACCGTAGGAGGGGTGGTGGTGGTGGGGGGGTAATCAGCCTCAAGTTATCCGAGGGTAACCTCTGGGCTGCCTTAGGGTTAACAGCTCACGTGTACACCGGGGTGCGTTTTGCCAAATTCGCCGCAGCAATGAAAAGCGGTGGCAATCTTCAGGGGGGGTAACAGGAGAGTGGTGGGTGGTGATGGGGGACCATGATATCAGCTTCGTGGTGCCACCCGGGGTCGCTCCATGCCGAACGAAGCCGTTCAATGGAGCAATGTGGACGGACCCGATATATTTCCAAGCGACCCGGGTGTGTTAAGCGGCGTGGGATGATGCTCCTTTGGTCCGCGACTCGAGTCTCCCTCGCCGAGACGTCTCCCCCTTCCGTGGGGCACGCGTTTTTGTTTTTCTCACCCGCCCCCCTTTTTTAGGGGCGCCGGCCGGTCTTGGTCTCGCACGTTTCGCACGTTTCGCCGGCGTCACGGCTGTTTAACCTCGCGAGCGAAAGCGTTCGCAGCGGACACGTTATGGGGCTTCTCGTTCGACTTCAAATTGCGGTGAACGTCTTTGTTTTTGGATGGCGAGACAAAAAAATGCAATTCCCCCTCCTCCGGGGAGGATGACTGGAGTTTGACGTGATGCATAATAGAGGGTTTAGTTGGGGGTGGGGGGGTTAGATCGCATAAATATGTGTGTCGTGAAACCCGCCACCACCCGACACAGCCAACGAGTAAGGGTTGTCACGTAAAAGGAACGTTGCCAATTCGCCACTAGTACAGCATTAATGTGTAGTGTAGTGTACTAGTACAGCACTAGTGTAGTGTATAGTATTGTGTAGTGTATCGTGTAGTATACTAGTACAGCACTAGTGTAGTGTATAGTGTACTATACTAGTACAGCACTAGTGTATTGTGTAGTGTATAGTATTGTATAGTGTAGTGTATAGTAGTGTATAGTAGTGTATAGTGCAGTTTACTAGTACAGCACTAACCGGTTGTGTGTTGGAGAGCCAAGCCACAACATTTACAATCCGAGTACGACGTTTCGCCAGTAATTACAACGAGCTTCATCAGGCGACTGCCAGATTTGTGGATAAGTCCACCTGTTGACATGATGGTTAAATGCGCCTTGCTCCCAATAGCTCTTCAGTGCGTGCTTGTAGCCACTACGCCCTACTTGGGACATCGGTTAAAACCAAACAAGAGCTTTATAGGTCATCGGATTTCTCCAGCATACAGAAATGTTCCGATTCTGTCCGACGCGTTCGCGCTCCTCCATATGCTGGACAGCTTCTCTCGGGAACTGACTCGGAACGAGGCCCTCTGTGCGTGTGGGTGGGTGGCGTTCTGGCAGAAAGATGATAATGTCTTAACCCTTTCTGAGCAGGGAGCTTCAAATGTCGCTCAATATTCGCCCCCCCCTCCCCCAAAGCTACCGTTGTATGCCTTGGGTTTTTTATTCTCCTTGAAGAAGCTTTTTGGTACGTGGGCCGAAACGTCGGGCGTCATTCCTAATACAGTACTGTCATGTTTATCCTAATACAGTATAGTCATGTACTGTATTGGGATAAACAGGTGGCTGGAGTGTGGCTTCGTCGTCGTCCTTGTTGTTAAGAGACACCCCCCCGATCCACCACCACCCCCCTCCACCCCCCCCTTCCACCCCCCCCTTCCACCCCCCCTTCCACCCCCCCCGATCCACCACCACCCCCCCGATCCATCCCCCTCTCCACCCCCCCCTCCACCACCCCCCCATCCACCACCCCCTCCACCACCCCCCCCTCCACCACCCCCCCACCACCCCCCCTCCACCACCTCCACCACCACCACCCCCCCCCCGATCCACTACCCACCCCCCGATCCACTACCACCACCACCCCCCTCCATCTCCCCCTCCACCACCCCGCCCCTCCACCACCCGCCCCTCCACCCCCACCACCCCGCCCCTCCACCACCCCGCCCCTCCACCACCCCCCTTCACCACCCACCACCACCCCCACCCCGAGCCGCTGACTTCTGACCCCGCACCCGAGTCGGCCCCGCCTACCACCCACACCGCCGCCGCCTCCGCTGCTGCTGCTGTTGCAACCTCCGCCTCCTCCTCGCCCACCACAGATTTTTTTGTATCCCTCCCCTCCTCCTCCTCCTCTCCCCGTCCATCTCCACGGCTCGTGGGTCCCCGACTAAAGTGGCTGCACCGGGTCTCGGGCCCGGCTCCGTGTAAGGCGCCCATCCCCACCCCCCCCCCCCTATCATCATCCCGGGACAAGCGGTCGTATCGCCGGGGAGGAGTAGGCGAGGCGGCGGTAGTGGCTATGGCCTGGCTCGCCTCTATTGTTCCGTCTCTCGCCCTTCGCGCACTCACCGCTTTGTTTGCATTGCTGTGCGGGGTGGGTTGGGTGGTAGTGGTGGTGGTAGTGGGGGGGAAGGGTTTGTGCGGTGTTTTATTTGAATTCGGCTTGCCCAGCAGTGGATAGAGAGACTGTGCGTGGTGGTTTTGTGGTGGTTGCAGGTAAACCATCTTCCGGAGGGCGCGGGCAAGGCGCCGACTCACAAGCTCCCCATCTTCTTCTTCGGCACTCACGAGACGTACGTGCGTGTGTGTGTGTGTCGAGTGGCCTCAAGGTGCACCTAGCCTGGCACAAGCGCCGTGGGGACGTCACTCGCCGCTTGGCGGCTGTTGCAAGTGAACCCAAGCGGGGCCCAGTTTCGATTTCTCGCGAGCCGGATTCATGAATCGGTAGCTGGCCCTCCTCTAGGTCGACTCGGCCTTAAACGAGTACCCTGGTTCGGTGTGCTGTGAACATCGGCACTGGGGAGATGGAAGGCGGCCGAGGGTGATGTTGGTCACAACCCCATTTGTCCGACGTTCCGGCCTTCATGGGTGCTGTTCGCTAACCGCTGTTAAAGGTGATAGCGGCCGGGGGAACTTTGCATAGCACGTCCAGTGGACACGCAACCCTGGTGTTGGCGCCGATGTTAGTACAGCTCCTGCTGGCTCAGCCCTATCCCTGAAAGCTGTAAAAGTCAGCACCAAATACCTACCCCGAACCGTGGATGCATGGCGAAGTGAGTGGTCTCTCTGTCCCCTTGTGTATCGCGACGTGTGCTGTGTTCGTATACACCTGAGCTGATGGGTTCCCCGGTTTGAACCCCCTCTGGCCTGTTGCGCACGGATGAGCTTCGTTACGCTTGCGTTGTTGACAGAAGCGGGTTGGGGAGGGGGGGGTCACCCACATTTTTCCACTGTAGACATATTTTACAAGTCGGCACACGGGTGAGTTATCAAAAGGGCGCAGAACACCGTAACGGCAGTTCAACATAATACTGGTACCAGATCTCGGGTCACAAATCAATGCCTGCCAACCCCTGAACACGGATGCCAATTCCCCGGAATGTCAAGAGGGTCAAAGCAGGACAGGGGAGGGAGGGAGGTTGTGTGATTGCATGTACTGTATGTTGAACTTCTTTCGCACCGTACGTAGCCAACGCAGGTGCGGGCGGGGGTGACAACAAACTAAACACAAACGAGAAGTTGTAATTCGCATACCCCTCGACCCTCCTCGCGCAACCGAAGTGGCTGTCCGTGTACCGCCGTTGCCTGTTCAAATTCCTCATGCTAGTCGACAAATCCCTTCATGGCCTTGCCCCCAACCATATCTTGCCACTCTTGTGTCTGTGTCGCCTTCCCGCCCGCTACGTTCACAGTCTTTGCTGCCTGTCTCTCTGTTCCTCCTCCTTGCGCTCAGTCCATGCTTTCGCTCTTTCTCTCTTCTCACCCCCCTTAACTGGAACAAACTTCCCACTCTACATTAAAGAGTCACCTTCGCTCACTTAGTTTCCGCTCCTCACTCGAAACTCACTTATTGTTACCCCTAGCTCACCCCACGACCCCTTAATCTCCCCCTCGTAACCGCCACCGTTACTTTTCCCTCTTCATATTCTCATTTTACGGCGATCACTTCAATCCATTCGTCATCATTTACTGTCATCAATTGTGCTTTCACCGAATTCACACATCACAGATTTGCCATTGCTTCCTCTCTAAACTTTTTCATTCACCTCATCTCCACCATCACACTCATACATAATTTTTTCGTAAAGTGCCTTAGTGAAGGCGCTTATAAATTCGGTTAAGATGAGATCCAAAATTTGTTCTGAATTTAGATTGAAAAGTGCATGGCTACAGTGGCTGCCTAATACCGGAAGGAAGAGCGTTCCAGACGGTCGCAGAAGCGCATCTCAAAGCGCATCTGAAAGCGCGCGATGCGGTAACCACCGTCTTTATTCGATGGCGAGCCAAAAGCTCCCTGGGAGGATGACCGGAGTTGGACATGATGGTTGATTCTCCTTGATGAGCTCAGCAAGGTATTGTGGTTAATTTGTGGATTGATGGATTGATGCTCCCCCCTACCCGACCCCACCCCACATGTGCGATGAGCTCAGGGGCTTCCTGTGCAGCAAGGACGTGTTCCCGTACCGCAAGCACAAGCTCAAGTACGCGGTGCCCTGCAAGCGCAAGGGCTTCAACGAGGGCCTGTGGGAGATCGAGAATAATCCCATGGTGCAGTTCAGGACCCACGCGCCACAGGTTAGGGGCGCGAGGGGTTGACGGCCTCATCTCTCATTTCGACGTGTGACGTGTACGCTCCTTTAAAGCTCAACTACAGTTGATCATTGGTTATCAGGCACGCGATTATCCAGCTTGCAACATTATCCGGCAGTCCCGGGCCGATCCGGCAAAACCGCTTCGAAGGCTGTAACCAGTCTGGCGATCGGCACCACGCGCGTGAACAAAACAAGTAGGTATTCTTGAATTCAGTCTAAAAGATATACAGTACATTATACACTACATTAAACTTTAACAATGAAAATACTGCACGTGTGTCTATTGATACAGCACCCCATGCAGAGTCTTCGAGATTGGAGTGGCAAGTACGGTACAGTAAATACAGGAACTTTTTACAGGATATTTATTTTAGTCTATTTGCCACTTTTATATAGCTAGCAAATTTTAAACACAGAAAAACATTTAACAACACCAACAAACATGATTCATACAAGAATGTGCAAAAATAAAATGTATAAATAAGATGTGCTTATCCGGCATTTTTTTAAATTTGGCTCCCCCTCCCCCCGAAGCCGCCGGATAATCGATGATCTCCTGTTTTATTATTTTACCAGGTAAGGCCAACTGAGCTATGTAGCTCTTATTCAGAAGCGACCAGGCCACAAATGGTAACCCAATGAAGTGGCTCATTGCGTGGAGATTTATAGCAGCCAAATACTCTAAACGCGTGATGTTGATTCTAAATGTGGAGGGGAAAAACCAGAGGACCCGAAGAAAAATCCACGCGACCACGGGGAGAGAGACACGCAAACTCCAAATATACAGTCGTCAGGGTCGGGATCGAAACAACGACCTCCTGCATACCAGGCGAAGCAGATAACATCTCGCCACTGGGGCACTCTTGTCGTTCCACTGCTGGATGAGAACCTCACACCCTGCTGCCCCAAAAATGCCTGTGCAGGTCGTGTGGGAGATGTTTGACCGTACTTCGCCACACCAGTCTGTGCGGGTCGGTGAAGCCGCCTTTTTAAAGTAAACACCCGCACTCCTTCGGTACAGCATCATGGGAAGCAATCGTACTTCTACTCCATGTAAAGCCTTCCTTGTATTGTATGCACCGCTGTGAGTGTGTCTCTCTTGAGCCTGCGGGTCCCTTTGCGAGTCGATGGTGAATGCGTACACCCTCGTGTGCGGAAGGACTCTGCGGACGCGGCCCGCGGTGCCATGGAGGAAACCAAGAAGGAAAACAAAGAGGGCAGCAGCACCGACGAGGAGAAGGAGGTGGAGGTGGACGAGGAGGAGGAGGAGGGGAGGCTCGTGATTGACGAGGGCAGGCCGGGCGCACGGCGCAAGCGGAGCACGCAAGCCGCGGTACGCGGGTTTGACACGCGCTCGAAGTTTCACGCAACGTACGGGTTTATAACGGAGTCGATGACCGCGGGAGGGTGGTGGCGGGGGTGAAGTTGTTGGCCCCACCGCGTTATGAGAATCTGGGTTTGATCCCTTGGTCGAAGCGCAACATCCGTGCCCAGCGATAACCGGCCTAGACCTTGACCTTTTCGCCGACCTGCTTTGGCTAGCCCGGGTGCAGTCTGCTCACGTAACCTCCGCGACCAAAAGACACGGGGAGGACTTTATCCAGCAGTGGATTGAGCAAGGACTGTGAATTATCACTTCTGTCGCAGTTATTATTTTGACGAATCATCTGCTATAAATGTCCACATGATAGGCCACTTCGTTGAGCTATCATTTGTGGCCAGGTCGCTTCTGAAAAATAACTAATAGCTCAGTGGGCTTTACCTGGTTAAACAACATTTTTTTAGTTAATTGATTTTTAATGATTTGCTTACCTTCCCGCCTATACTGGACATCTGTGAACAAGAGCTTCGGCTCATCGGATTCCTCCAGGATGAACAAAGATTTTGATTCAACTATACATTTCTCGTTATTACCATCTCATTCTGTGATTTGTCTCGGGCCTGTTTAATTTGTATTGTTTTTGTACGCTCAAGTTCGCTGCTTTGCGTTGTGTGGTCGCTCTGCAGACGGTAGGGAGGCGAGCGGCGCACAAGGCCGGAGCGGGTGCCAAGGTGGAGGCGGGGGGCGGCTCGGGGTCAGAGGTCACCGAGGACAAACGTCCAGCGACGCCGCCCACGCAGCCCGTACGAGCGCCGCACTCGCAGGGCACCACATTCGCGGAGCTCCACGCTGGCGGAGTTACACCCTCCCTCATGGCACCACCCTCATAGCACCACCCTCATAGCACCACCCTCATAGCACCCTCACTCATAGCACCACCCTCGAATCACCCTCACACAGAGCACCACCCTCACACCACCCTCACACAGAGCACCACCCTCATAGCACCACCCTCACTCATAGCACCACCCTCACAACACCCTCACTCATAGCACCACCCTCATAGCACCACCCTCACACAGAGCACCACCCTCACAGCACCACCCTCACACAGAGCACCACCCTCACAACACCCTCACTCATAGCACCACCCTCATAGCACCACCCTCACACAGAGCACCACCCTCACACAGAGCACCACCCTCACACAGAGCACCACCCTCACAACACCCTCACTCATAGCACCACCCTCACAGCACCACCCTCACACAGAGCACCACCCTCACAGCACCCTCACACAGAGCCACCACCCTCACACAGAGACACCACCCTCACACAGAGCACCACCCTCACACCACCCTCACACAGAGCACCACCCTCATAGCACCACCCTCACACAGCACCACCCTCACAACACCCTCACTCATAGCACCACCCTCATAGCACCACCCTCACTCATTGCACCACCCTCACAACACCCTCACTCATAGCACCACCCTCGAATCACCCTCACACAGAGCACCACCCTCACACCACCCTCACACAGAGCACCACCCTCATAGCACCACCCTCACACAGAGCACCACCCTCACAACACCCTCACTCATAGCACCACCCTCATAGCACCACCCTCACAACACCCTCACACAGAGCCACCACCCTCACAGCACCCTCGCTCATAGCACCACCCTCATAGCACCACCCTCACAACACCCTCACACAGAGCGACCACCCTCACAGCACCCTCGCTCATAGCACCACCCTCATAGCACCACCCTCACAACACCCTCACACAGAGCCACCACCCTCACAGCACCGCACCCGTGGAGCAGTGCGCTCACAGAGAGCTGCATTCACGCACAGAGATCCAAGTTTCGGGGCGATTGTGTTGAACCAGCTGAGAACTTGAGAGACCTAGGGTGAGTTTCCTTCGCACGAGGGAACCCGTCTCACCGAAAATTACTAAAGCAAACAGAGTACAGTTGATTGAAACAAATAAGAATCGAGCAAGAACTGCATTACGTTAAGGTTTCTGTTGCGGTGGGGTTCCATTTGTCTCGTGGTTGACAGATTTTTTAAATTGCGGTTGGTATGCGTTATGTGTGTGTGCGCGTGCGTGCGGTAGTGTAGCGGTTAGCGCGCTGCGCTACGAACCTGGTCACCCGGGTTCGTTTCCCGCTCACGGCCAACACCAGTGACGATTATCTGAACCGGTCCTGGGCCTCGCCTAGGTCGACTCAGCCTGAAATGAGTACCTGGTGCGGTGTGTAAACATCGTCACTGGGGAGACAAAGGCAGTAGGGCGTGGTGCTGGCCACCCACCCCTCGTGTGCCGTTCCGGCTTTCGTAGGTGCTCGCTAACAGCACTTGCCCCGACAGTCTGTCAAGGCTATACGGAGGATCGTTGTTGTCATCATGATGCAATCTTTGGGGTGCTCAGCAGGAGTTTATCTCTGTGTGTAGGACTCTCTGCAGAGGAAGCGGAGGAAGAGGGCCCAGGGCGAGGAGTGGCCGGCAGATGCCCGCTCGAGAAGGAAGGCAAGTAACAGGCGACTCCGGATACACGTTTGTACGTATGCATGTTGGACTTCCTTCGCACCGTACGTAGCCAACCCGTGCTGAGCGGAGGTGCGGGGGAAGGACAACAACCTAAACACGAGGTTGTCAATCTAGATGATGATGATTTCAAAGTGCAGCAAAGCTCCACAGGGGCTCCCTAATATCGAAGGAAGAGCCTTCCAGACGGGCCGCAGAAGCGCATCTGAGAGCGCCGTGATGCAAGTGACCGACTTTGATGTCTGTCTGACGGGGAGACAAAGGCGGCCGGGCGTGGTGCTGGCCACTTGGGCTAAACGATCTGGGGGAAATATCTAATTACGATTTTTCTGACAGATATTGCGATTTCCTTTGCGATTACATTTTTTGAAGTCAAGCTTCAGTTCAATATTCACTTGGTAATAAATGTAAAACATGTGATGGAGCATTACCACATGATACCATCAAAATATGAACTGCTCTATATATTCTAATGCAAGGATGAGAACTTGAAAGATGTGAATTGCTTCCAACATGTATTTATGAAAATGTTTTAATTGAAATAGAACAATCAAACATAGAAAAATTGTTAAGTTAAATAAAGTTATAATAAAAAATAAAACAATTCCAATAAGAAAGTAACAGGACTTTTCAAATCGCAAAAAATCGTAGCCTTTGCGATTTGCTAATCGCATTGTTTCAGATTTCGATTTGAAATCGATTCATCGTTCAGCCCTACTGGCCACCCACCCTCTTAGTGCACCGGCCTCCTTCATAGCCATTCTCAAGAAATTATTTTTCGATGTAGATTTAAAAGTGCAGAGCTCCAGCGGATTCCTAATATCGAAAGGAAGAGTGTTCCAGACTGCCGCGGAAGCGCATCTGAAAACGCGCGATGCGGTGACCGACCGTTTTTGTTCAATGGCTAGCCAAAAGTCCGCCGCTGCGAGGATGATGCTTTATCCTCCTTGACGAGATCGGCAAGGAGGAAGTAAAAAACAAATAAATGAAAAACAACTGAATTAAATCAAGTGTGTCGAGACGCACTTCAGCGGTTGTGCTTTCGCTACGTTGTCCCCACCTGAAGAAGGACGCTTGTGTTGCGCCCGAAACGTCGTGATTTTATTTAGTTGTTTTTCCATTTATTTTATTTTTTACCTACGTGACTTTACCGAAAAAACCAAAGAGTTTGCCGCAGAGGGTTTCGTTGCTTGAGTCTCACGGCCGCCCCGGTTAATACCGCGTATTCCGTGTGTATTGGAGCATAGACCCGCTGCGCCGTCTTGTGCGCTTCACAGCTGACGTTAAAGATTCTCCCGTGACGTCATTCGAAAAAGAGTGGCAGGCCCCCATTGTGGGGCGGGGGAGGGAGAGCGCGGGTTTGTTTTAAATCGCACCGCAAGTTGCTCAATTGCTACTATTGTAGGGACGTAAATGGCGTCCCTGGGGTAGTGACTGTTGTGAGGAGACTCGCTCCCTTACCTGCACTTACCTGCCGATGGGGACTCGAGGGGCCTGTCACGCTGGCTCGGGTACTATCGGGAGGGTCAGGGGAAGTGACGTGGCAAGAGGCGGGGTGGGGGCCACGCCAGAGGTCGCAAACGGGTTTTGATTCCTTACCCGTACCCGTACCCGGCTGCACCAGGGTCGCAAATGGGTACCCGTACCCGGCCGGGTACGGGTAGCCGTTCCCTACCCGTACCCGTACCGTACCCGATATGAGTGACAAACGGCTACTCACCAGTGACTCACGGCCTACCCGTACCCGGCCGCACCAGGGTCGCAAACGGCTACCCGTACCAGTACCCGGCCAGGTACGGGTAGCCGGGTATCGGGTATGGGTATCGGGTACCCGGTTGCGACCTCTGGGCCACGCTCGGGGAAGGGAAGAGGATGCGGGGCCTTCGGACCATGTGGGTCAGTCGGTGTGGGGTTCTGATGGTGCATGGTCACGCCGGTGGAAGCGGGAGCCGAGAGTGTTGAGGCTCCGGGTATGAAGAATCCTTCCCCTCTCTCGTTGGGGTATCGAGTAGCCTTGTTGTAGCTGTTACTGTTCAAGTGAATTAAGTGTGGTGCCTCCTATCCCAGTGTGTGCCTCGCCAGACACGCATTACACTATTATTATGAGACTGGCAGGGGCAGGGTGGGAGGCAAAGGGCAACTTCTGATGCAAGCCACACGACTTCGGATTTAAGCACAAGCGGGCCTTGCTTCCAATGCCACGTGTGCTGATATCCAAATGCTCCTGCAATGTGGCACCGTAATCGGGTGCTTTGATTTATCCACCTGCGTGTTTGTTTATGCCCCGCGTGATCCCTTGTGACTCCCTCGCCCTGCCTGCATTTTTTTTCAGGGGTCGGAGGACGCAGCAACAACAACAGCAGCAACAGCAGCAGCAGCAACAGCCAGTCCTCCCAGGAAGGGCCCCAAGAAAAAAAAAGGTTTGTGTGTGTACGTGTGTGTACGTGTGTGTACGTGTGTGCGTGCGTGGGGAGCGGTGGTGTAGCAGTTAGCGTGCGGAGCTACGAACCCGGAGGCCCGAGTTCGGTTCCCACTCATGGCCAACACCGGTGACGATTATCTTAACCAGCCCTGGGCCTCCCCTAGGTCGACTCGGCCTCAAATGAGTACCCGGTGAGGTGTGATAACATCGCCACTGGGGAGACAAAGGCGGTCGGGCATGGTGCTGGCCACCCACCCCCTCGTGTGCTGTGCCGGCCTTCGTAGGTGCTCGCTAACAGCACTTGTCCCAAGAATCTGTGAAGGCTTTGAGGGGGATCTTTGTCTTTTTGTGCGTGTGTGCGTCGTGTTGTGGCTGCGCTGTTGGAGTTGTGCGATGGGGAACCAATGGCAGCGATTCGATGTCACGGAGTTCGGGGGCAGCTGGGGACAGCAGGGGGTAGCAGGATAACAACACGGGGTGGGGAGGGGAGGCATTTGCCAAGCAGTGGGAAGTTACCAGCTGGCAACAACAACCATAACAACAACAACACAAGTCTGTGGGTCTCTTGAGAGCCCACGGGTGTCCGTGTGAATTTGTGAAGCCGCCTCTATAAAATTGACACGGGCACTGCTTCTGCACGGCATCGTGAGATGCAGTCGTGTTTAGTCTCCATTTCAATCCACCTTGTATTGGATGGGCCTCTGTTAATCTGTGTCTCTGCGTGTATGGGTCTCTTAGTGTGGGCGAGTCAATGGATTTCTGTGTTTTCTCTCCTTTTGTGAGCCTTTGTGTGAGTTTGTGGGTGTCTATGGGAGTTTGTGGGTGTCTGTGTGAGTCTGTGGGTCTCTGTGCGAGTCTGTGGGTCTCTGTGTGAGTCTGTGGGTCTTTGTGCGAGTCTGTGGGTCTCTGTGCGAGTCTGTGGGTCTCTGTGCGAGTCTGTGGGTCTCTGTGCGAGTCTGTGGGTCTCTGTGCGAGTCTGTGGGTGTCTGTGTGAGTCTGTGGGTCTCTGTGCTAGCTTGTGGGTCTTTGTGTGAGTCTGTGGGTCTCTGCGAGTCTGTGGGTCTCTGTGGGTCTCTGTGCGAGTCTGTGGGTCTCTGTGCGAGTCTGTGGGTCTCTGTGTGAGTCTGTGGGTCTCTGTGTGAGTCTGTGGGTCTCTGTGTGAGTCTGTGGGTCTCTGTGTGAGTCTGTGGGTCTCTGTGCGAGTCTGTGGGTCTCTGTGTGTGTCTGTGGGTCTTTACGTGAGTCTGTGGGTCTTTACGTGACTGTGGTTTTCAATGTGAGCCTCAGCAAATGAGGGAACGTGAGAACAATGGGGCGGACCGCCGTTCCCCAGCAGTGGGACGTTACACGGCTGACGGCAACAACAACGGCGACCGTGTGTGGACGTGTGACCTCTCTGCCGCTGTCTGTCGTGTTCACAGTCGAGGAGGAGGAGGAGGAGGTGCAGAAGGCCGTGACCAAGAAACCTCACAAAACCAAGCAGCCCTCGGGGACCAACAGGTGACCCGGGGGCACTCACCATCAGAGAGCGCTGGTCAAGTACCTGCGCTGTAGTTCAGCGCTTGCTGTAGTTGTTTCAGTTCTGTGCTTTCTGTAGTTCAGTACTTGCTGTAGTTTCTGTAGTTCAGCGCTTGCTGTTGTTCAGCGCTTGTGAATATGTATATACGTTGAACTTCTTTTGCACCGTACGTGTCCAACCGTGCTAATGGGAGGTGCTTGCTGTAGTTCACCGCTTGCTGTAGTTGCTGTAGTTGCTGTAGTTCAGCGCTTGCTGTAGTTGCTGTAGTTCACCGCTTGCTGTAGTTGTTGTAGTTGCTGTAGTTCACCGCTTGCTGTAGTTTGCAGTAGTTCACCGCTTGCTGTAGTTGCTGTAGTTCAGCGCTTGCTGTAGTTGCTGTAGTTCACCGCTTGCTGTAGTTGCTGTAGTTCACCGCTTGCTGTAGTTGCTGTAGTTCACCGCTTGCTGTAGTTGTTGTAGTTGCTGTAGTTCACCGCTTGCTGTAGTTTGCAGTAGTTCACCGCTTGCTGTAGTTGCTGTAGTTCAGCGCTTGCTGTAGTTGTTGTAGTTGCTGTAGTTCACCGCTTGCTGTAGTTTGCAGTAGTTCACCGCTTGCTGTAGTTGCTGTAGTTCAGCGCTTGCTGTAGTTGCTGTAGTTCACCGCTTGCTGTAGTTGCTGTAGTTCACCGCTTGCTGTAGTTGTTGTAGTTGCTGTAGTTCACCGCTTGCTGTAGTTTGCAGTAGTTCACCGCTTGCTGTAGTTGCTGTAGTTCAGCGCTTGCTGTAGTTGCTGTAGTTCACCGCTTGCTGTAGTTGCTGTAGTTCAGCGCTTGCTGTAGTTGCTGTAGTTCAGCGCTTGCTCTAGTTGCTGTAGTTCACCGCTTGCCGTATTCACCACGGCGGGCATGGTCTCTGCGGTCGGTATCACCAGTGAGCCGAGCGGTGCCGACGAGGCCCCTCCGGAGAAGCGCCGGCGCCGGAGGCAGGCGGAGGCGGTGGTGGCGGTGGAGGTCGGCGTGGCCCGCGAGCGCCGGCGCAGGGCAGGCCGCGGCGACGGCGACGCCGTCAAGGAAGGGAGCGTCGTCGGCGGTGCCGACGCCGACGGGAGCCAGGCCCGCCGCAAGGAGCGCAAGGTCGAGCGTGGCAAAGACAAGGCTCCGCAGGCCGAGGCCCCGGCGGCAGGCGGCGCCCGCAAGCGCAAGCGCGGCTCCGATTCGGAGACCACAGACGCCGTGAGTCGGGTTGGGGGGCGGGGGCGGCAGGGCAGTGTCGCGGTGGGAACGGTCGATGGCGTCTCACAGGGAGAAGGGGCCCGGGTTCGATTCCCTTAATCGGACGCCTCTCTGTGGAGTTTGAGCGTTCTGTTTAACACTTAGGAGACTTTCGCGACCAATATCATCCATAATAGAGGTTTTTTGGGTTAGATCTGGTATATATTTAAATGTGTCGTTAAACCCGCCACCACCCGACACAGCCAACTAGTAAGGGTTGTCACGTAAACAGAACGTGCCAATTTGTCGTTGCTATAACAAAAAACCTTACAGTGTATCTGGTATTCGCCAAACATCCCCTTGCTGAAAATAGTCGTGGTGGTGGTGATGAATTTTGTGGTTATGTTGGTAAATGATGGTGATGGTGGCGGTGATGAAGATGGCGGTGGTGATGAAGATGGCGGTCGTGGTGGTGGCGGCGGCGGCAGCGATCGTGGTGGTGATTGTGTCGGTTGTCCTGGTAGTGTTGATCCTGATGGTGGTGGTTGACCTGCTCTAGAAACTCTTTTAACTGGAGCCGTTGGTGCCGCCGTAGAAACCGGAAAAGCTGAAGCACGCAGAGAAGGGCGGCCGCAAACATGTGGAGATGGACCCAGACCCGGAGCCGCCCAAGAAAGGCCGCAGGGCCGAGGAGCGGGCCAAGGAGGCCAGGTGGGATACCAGGGAAACTGGTCGCCATCATCGCCATCATTGTCGTCGCCATCATCGCCGGCATCATCAATGGCATCAGCATGATCACCATCATTATCATCATCATCATCACAGCAATCATTGTCATTGTTTGCGTAGTTAGTAGTTACTCCTGCATGTGTTGATTTGCTGTGTGTGTGTGAAGACCGTTGTTTTTGTTTTACCACGAGTCAGTTGTGGCTGTTTTGTAGACACTGTTCCTTTTGATGTGTTCCCCATGTGTGGTCAGGTGCAGTGATGTATGTGTGTGATGTAAGTGGAAAATGTATGTGTACGCGTGTAAGTGTGCGTGTACACGTGTGTGTGTGCACTTGTGGGGAGCGTTAGTGTTGCGGTTAGTGCACTACGCCGTAAACCCGGCGACCCGGGTTCGATTCCCGCTCACGGCCAACACCAGTGATGATTATCTGAACCGGTCCTGGGCCTCCCCTAGGTCGACTCGGCCTCAAATGAGTACCTGGTGCGGTGTGTAAACATTGCCACTGGGGAGACAAAGGCGGTCGGCCGTGGTGCTAGCCACCCACCCCCTTGTGTCCCGTTCCGGCCTTCATAGGTGCTCGCGAACAGCACTTGCCCCTACAATCTGTTGAGGCTATACAGGGGATCTTTGTATTTTTGTGCGCTGGTGTGAGCAGTAGTGCAGCTGTTAGCACACTGCGCTGTGAACCCCGCTACCCGAGTTCAAATTCCCACTCACGGCCAACATGGTTACTAATATTTGAACTGGTCCTGGGCCTCCCCTAGGTTGACCGAACCTTAAAAATGAGTACCTGGTGCGGTGTGCAAAACATCGCCACTGGGGAAACAAAACCGGTCGGGCTTGGTGCTGGCCACCTACCCCTTGGTGTGCCGTGTCAGCCTGAATAGGTGCTGACTTGAAACCACTTGCCTCAGCATTCTGCCATAGGTCTTTGTCTTTGATGTGCGGTGGTGACGGCAGGCTGACTGACAGCGACGCGAAGGAATCCGCGGAGGAGCAGACGTCCCAGGACGACGAGAAGGCGGGTGAGTGACACGCGACAACGAAACAAAAACATACTCGATAATTGGTTTTTTACCCTTTTATCTGGCAACAAAACTGACACCCTTTGTTTAGCATATTTTTATTTCCTGCAAATGAGGTTCCAATGGTGTGAAAACATACTCTTTGGTTTCGATTTAAAGCTTTCGTGACTGCAGGGATTCATCTTCTTGGTTCTTTCAACCCAGCTTAAATATACGCTCCAAGCGTGGTGGTGTTTCATTCAGACGCTGTCTCCCCGACAGACCTGGTCTTCAACTGAGGACGGCTGCTTGCGTTGTGGCCGAAACGTCGTGAGAATTATTTTATAATGTTTTATTTTTATTATTTTATTATTTCCCTTCTACGTGACTTTACCGAGAGAACCAAGAAGATACTCTTTGGTTATTTCGGTAAAGTCACGTAGGTGATAAAAAATAAAAAATAACAATAAAAATAGAAATAATCTAATTAAATCACGATGTTTCGGAAGCAACACAAGCTTCCGTCATCAGGCGAGACAACCACAGTAAAAAACTAAAAATTACTGTAGTGGGGTTTTTTTGCTGTGGTTGTCCCACATGATGACGGAAGCTTGTGTTGCTTCCGAAACGTCGTGATTAATCTAATTATTTATATATTTAATTTTTATTATACTTTTTTTTTCACCTACCTGACTTTACCGAAAGAACCAAAGAGTTTGGGTCCTTGCAGTCACGAAAACTTCAAATCTAGAATGAAAAAAAAAACACTTTATATTTTTACCAGGAAAGGGCCCACTGGAACTACGTGGCTCTTTTTCAGAAGTGGCCCGGCTTTCACAACCGATAGCTTCATGAGAAAGTGGCTCATGATCGCGCGGAAATTGAAAGCAGCCAAAATACTCTTAAACGCGTGACGTCGATTTTAAATGCGGAGGGGAAAAATTTGCTGCTGGCTCACCACCGTCGCGCGGCTGCCGCCTTGCCCGCTCCGCTTGCCGTTCCACCACGGCGACCGTCGAGTAGATAATTATCTCGCGCGCCGGCAACGCTCGCCGGTCGGCGTCGTGCACCGGCACCGCCCTGCTCGCCGCGAAGCTCCGGCAATTCCCCCTTTCTCGCCAAGTCCATCCGCTTCCAGTAACAACGACAAAAATAAAGCCATATCGACTCGCAGCGCGGTGGCACCACCCACCATCCGCTCGCTCTCGGGCAGAGGTCGCAACCGGGTACCCGATACCCGTACCCTACCCGATACCCGGCTACCCGTACCCGGCCGGGTACGGGTACCTGTTTGCGACCCTGGTGCGGCCGGGTACGGGTACGGGTATACCGTGAGTCACCGGTGAGTAACCGTTTGTCACTCATTTCCCAACGTCTTGTCTCTTCTCGCAATTCAAGTTCCTAGAATCAACCCAGCCGCGCCTGCAACATGGCTTCATCCCAGAGGTCGCAATCGGGTACCCGATACCTGTACCCTACCCGAACCCGGCCGGGTACAGATAGGATACAGGTACGGCCGGGTACGGGTATCCATTTGCGACCCTGGTGCGGCCGGGTACGGGTAAGGAATCAAAACCCGTTTGCGACCTCTGCTCTCAGGCAGAGAGCGGCCCACTCGGAGGCTCGAAGAGGAACCATTGAGGAGCGGGGAATGCAGCAGCCGGCGCCTAAAGTTCACTCCGAGCTCTGCAGTCCTGTATATATATGAGAAGGGTGTTATCGGCCAATTAATGAATAATTATCCATGTGAAAGGAAACCGGAGTGCCTGGACAGAACCCACTCATCCGAAGCCCAGATCCCAGCAGTCGATGTTGTGGATGTGGTGGACGTTGTAGTTGTTGTTGATGTTGGTGTTGGTTGTGGATGTTGTGGATGTTTTAGTTGTGGATGTTGGTGGTGGTTGTTATAGTTGTGGATGTTGGTGGTGGTTGTGGATGTTGGTTGTGGATGTTGGTGGTGGTTGTGGATGTTGGTGGTGGTTGTGGTTGTTGTGGATGTTATAGTTGTGGATATTTGGTGGTGGTTGTGGATGTTGGTGGTGGTTGTGGATGTTGGTGGTTGTTGTGGATGTTGTAGTTGTGGATGTTAGTGGTGGTTGTGGATGTAGTGGTGATTGTGGTGGATGTTGTGGTGCTTATGGTTATACTGGATGGAGTTGTTGTGAATGTACTGGACGTTGTAGTTGTGGATGTGGTGCCGGTTGTGGATGTAGTGGAAGTTGTAGCTGTTGGCGGTGGTTGTGGATTTTGCTGTTGTAGTGGAGGGTTGTGGTCGTGTGTTGGAGCAGCTGTTCAACGTGTTGTCGCGCGTTCACGCCCGCCGCCGTCGCGTCTCCCCAGAGCTGCAAGCCGACGCCAAGGTGCAGAAGCTCGTCAACGACATCAAGCTCGCTCTCAAGCTCAACAGCCCGGTGAGGACACCCGGGGGCAGCGGCTGGGGGGGGGTGGCCCCATTAATAAAAATCCCCGTGGGTTGCTGGTCGCGCCGTTCCCACAGCGCAGGGCTGCCATCACGGAGCCAGCGCGCGGCCGTGGGCACAACCGGTCTGGCTGGGCCGGAGAGCCTCCGTGGCTGCACCGGCAGTGGCATCCCAGACACCGGCGCGCTCCTTCAAGAAGCAGCTCAAAGCTCTTGTCGGTTCAGGCTCTCACCTGGTTCAGGCTCTGACCTGGTTCAGGCTCTCACCTGGTTCAGGCTCTGACCTGGTTCAGGCTCTCACCTGGTTCAGGCTCTTACCTGGTTCAGGCTCTCCACCCGTTCATGCTCTAATCAGTTCAGGCTCTCATTCAGGCATTCACCTGGTTCAGGCCGTTACCTGGTTCAGCCTCTCACCCATTAAGGCGCTCATTCAGGCTCTCACCTGGTTCAGGCTCTCACCCGTTCAGGCGGAGGGCTAATGCTGACGGTTAGCGCGCTGTGTTATGCACCCGGAGAGCCGAGTGCGATTCCCGCTCGCAGCCAACACCAGTGACCATTATTTGAACCGGTTCTGGGCCTCCCCTAGAACGACTCGGCCTCAAACGGTGCGGTGTGTAAACATCGCCCCCTACGCTTCACAGCGCTTGCCCCAACAGACTGTGTGAGCTATAAGGAGTCACTCTGTGTGTGTGTGCATGTGCAGGACACCAAGCGGTGTCTCGAGTACTTGGATGAGCTGAACTCGCTGCAGCTCAGCCTACAGCACCTGCAGAAGCACACGGAGGTGGTGGCCATGCTGCGCAAGGTGAGGCCCACCAGCCCCCCAGCTGCCCCCCACAGGACCTGCTGATCCCCACCACGGCATTCTCCAACCCCCACTTGCCCCCCGCCACTCGCCGTTACAACCCAGCCATCGCAGTCGTCGTACGGGCTCTGTCGATTCTTCCAAGTTGGTTGAGTTTAACCAGGCGCCACTCCGAAACGGACGTGTGATCTCCTGTTGAACGCTGCGTTAGGTAGGACGCGGAGTGGCTCACGCACCCCGCTCGGCCACGTAGGCTCTGTGCGTCACGTGGTGGGGCACGTTTTGCAGTCGTCAGGCGAGTGTGGAGGGTGCTTTCGTCATTTCGGCGACCTAGGTTACTGTTGCAAATGAGACTTAAACTTGTCTCTCTGCGTTATCACCTGGTTAACCTATCAACTTGAACTCACCACCCACCCGCCCACCCACCCACTCATCCATTTACCCACCCACTCACTCTCTCCCACCCAACCACTCACCTACTCATCCACCCACCCACTCACTCACTCTCTCTCACCCAACCACTCACCTACTCACTCATTCATCCACCCACCCACTCACTAACCCACTCACTCATCCACCCACCCGCCCACCCACCCACTCACTCATCCATTTACCCACCCACTCACTCTCTCCCACCCAACCACTCACCTACTCATCCATTTACCCACCCACTCACTCTCTCCCACCCAACCACTCACCTACTCATCCACCCACCCACTCACTCACTCTCTCTCACCCAACCACTCACCTACTCACTCATTCATCCACCCACCCACTCACTAACCCACTCACTCATCCATCCACCCACCCACCCACTCACCCACTCACTTTCCCACCCAACCACTCACCTACTCACTCATCCATCCACCCACCCACTCACTCACGCACCCACCCACTCGCCCACTCACTCAATCACCCACCCACACTCACCCAATCACTCACTCACTCGTGCAATTGAGACTCGTCCAGTTCTCGTGAGCTCTCGCCTGGTTAAGCTGAATCAACTTTGAACCCGAACTGGATGTGGTTTGGCGCGGAGCCAGCCTGACGCTCGCGCCTCTCCCGTGCCACCCCCAGATCCGCAACTACCGCGCCAGCGAGGACGTGATGCACAAGGCCGCCATGATCTACCACAAGTTCAAGTCCATGTTCCTGGCGGAGGAGGATGGCAGCTCCCCCATCTACGCCCCCCACAGCCCCCCACCGCCAGCCCCCGCCCCCCCTAGCACCCCCGCCGCGGACGAGGCCCCCCACCCCACGCCCGCCAGTAACGACAAACAACAGTCGCGGCCTACGGCGCGGGAGGCGCGGGGCGGGCGCGGCGAACGTAGAGGTGAGCGACGTGGGCGACACGTGGTGGCGTGTTGTGACGGCGGTTGCCGGGATGTTGTGGCGTCGTGGTTGGGATGTGGGGGGGTGGTGGTGAAGTGTCGTGGTCACGTGACGGAGTGATGTGGTGTCGCTTGTAGTGGTGGCGGAGTGGTCAGCGCCGCGGGGCTACGAACCCCGGCAACGGCCCACATTCGATTCCCACTCGTGATGTGCGTATGAATGTTGAACGTCTTTCGCACCGTACATAGCCAATCGTGATAATCGGACGTGCAGGGGAAGGACAACAAACGAAACACATGAAGCAGTTCTGTGTTTAACAGTGACCGCGAATGTTTAACAGGACTTCTCCTAGGTCGACTCGGCCTTCAATGACGACCTGGTGCAGTGTGTAAACATCGTCATGGGGAGACAAAAGCAGTAGGGCGTGATGCTGGCCACCTCCACCCCCTCGTGCGTACGGCATTTCCCCCCAACAGCCTGTCAAAGGCTTCACGGGGGATCTTTTGTGTGGCTTGGCGGTGGTGTGGGCCAGACGGGGTAGTTTTGAGAATAGGTCATCAATAATTTAATACACTTGGTATTTGCGCCATTCTTATAGCACAAGGCTATCATGACAAGGGAAGGCACGATGATTCACAGATGGGTATGGTCTGCCAGTATGGGGGCAATGCTTCTCCGCGGCTATACCGAATTGGCAAATACGTGGGTCATTGTTGTCTAATTTGACCTGTGACACTTGCACGCAAGGCCTACTTTTTTTTGTCATGATGCCTCCGGGAACTTGGCAACGTCCACAGCAAAGCATAATAGTTCCCACGCATTAGTTCGTGGCTAAATACTCGCGGCAGCATTAACCTGGGCGGTCGCCGGACTCGAACCACAATACCTCCGCTACAAGCGTCCCAACGCCCTGCCGCTCGGCACTTGCGTCTCAAGCCGCGGACGAATCCCTCGCGCTAACCGAAGGCTCGCGTTGGCGTGCGCGGTCCCAAGGGAAGGGCCGGAGGGGCCACGGCAGGGCCTGGGGCGAGCGGCGAGGTCCGGCGCCCAGGGACGTCGAAAACGGAGATGGAGCGGCGGACGGAGCGGAGGAGACGCGGCTCGGAGAGAGGTGTGCGCGAGTTTTGGGTGACGCTGGCGGAGTCCGTGAGGGGCCCGGACGTGATCTCGCACCTTCGTCACCACCCCAGGTGGCATCGCTTGAGCGCACAGTTTTATGCAGCAGCGGCAGCAGCGTCGCCGTACCCACACGTTACATCTGGCGGTCGCTGAGTTTTCTGCAGCTGAGCCGGAAGTCGGCAGCAGCAGCCTTCCAGTTCGGCTGACCCGCGAGCTCTCCACGCCCATCCCTTACATCTCTCCAGACTCCTCCTTCCCGATGCTTCTTTCAGTCCAGGGGTCGGCAAACCAAAACAACAAGAAGAGCCATTTCTTTCGAATTCGGTCAAAAACCACGACTCTATTTCAAAATCCGTTGATGCACGTGGTGAACACGAGACGGCGTTCTTGAATAAATGACGCTCACGAAGCGGCAGTCCTTGAAGAGCCGCACGCAGCTTCGGAGCCGTCGGTTGCCGACCCCCGTCCCAGCCGTTCGCGTCTCAAAAACTCCCGTTTGAACTCGCCGGCCAAATCGAACGCTCGCCGGTCAAAGCGGACCATCGATCGTGAGTGGCCACCTCCGCTTGACCAATGAGGACCCTGTCCCCCGTAACAGCGATCAGCCAATGGGCAACCTCCGGTGGCCAAACGAAATGGCTGAATCGATGTTTTACTGCGCGCGACGGTAGAATTTAATAATCAATAACGGTTTGACCTTTGGCGTCCTTGACGCTGTGATAATATCACCGCGTGTGTCCTCGGCTATAACTTCTAGATTTGAAGCTTTCGTGACTGCAAGGATTCATACTCTTAGTTCTTTCGGTAAAGTCACGTAGGTAAAAAATGAAATTAAAATTAATAAAAAATAAAAACATTAAAATCACGACGTTTCGGAGGCAACACAAGCTTCCGTCTTCAGGTGAAACTGTCACAGCAAAATATCTGTATCTCTTCACTTGATACAGATATTTTGCTGTGACAGTTTCACCTGAAGACGGAAGCTTGTATTGCCTCCGAAACGTCGTGATTTAATTGTTTTTATGAATTTTAATTTCATTTTTTACCTACGTGACTTTACCGAAAGAACTAAGAGTATACTCGGCTATAACGTTGGCGGGCTCACCGCGTGTGCTCCATGCGTGCGATGGGGCTTTCTGTGGGGGAGTTGAGGGACCCCCGAATCAGTGAAAAATAATCTCACTTTCCCGAACCTCAAAGAATGGACAAGCGGGGGGCGGACAGCGGCGCCGCCTTGCCATGAGCCGCGTCCCCGCACTGCGCCGGAACACTGCGTGCCACGCGGGCAGCTTAGGCCGTCCGTTCTGCGCGGTCGTTACCGTAGCGTTTGATTGTGCGTTTGGGAATGGGCTTATGTTTTTTTGTGGTTTCTCAGTGGTATACATACATATCTCTATAATATAGGGTTTTTTTTTGGGTTAGATCGCGTAAGCCAGACAAATCTGGCTGTCGTCTGATGATGCTACCTGGAATTACTGGCGAAATGCGTACTCAGATTGTAGATGTTGTGGCTTGGCTCTCCAACACACCGGTGTGCTGTACTAGTAACGAATTGGCACGTTCTGTTTACGTGACAAACCTTACTAATTGGCTGTGGCGGGTTTAACGACACATTTATATATTTACCTGACCTAACCCAAAATAACCTGGATTATGGATATTGGACGCGAAAGCTTTACGTGTTAAACATACATATCTCTATTAACATTTTACATAATGAAAATGACGCAGCTGCTTGTGAAACAAAAGCGGATATAATTTGGGGCCACGCCGTCCCTGAATTAGCCCGGTGCGTCAAGGACGGTGGTGGTACCCCGCTCCCTGTGCGCCAATTCGTGTGTGCCCACTCCCGTGTCTCATGTGCCGATTCCCGCGTGCCAATTTCCGTGTGCACAGTGCGCTGGCGGACGATGGCACGGGGACCCAGCCCGGGGTCAAAGACGCCACGGAGGGAGGAGCGACGCAAGCCTGAGCTGCCACCTTGACCCTTTACCCTTGACCCTGACCCCACGAGAAGCACTTGCAGTTCTGCAGCACCCTGTACACTCTCACCCCGTCACCCTTGACTCACCTTGTGACCCCTACACACACCCTGCACTCAGACCCTCACCCAGCCCCCTTGTACCCTCACCCTCGACGATCTCCTGGCACTTACGCCCCGCACCCCGCACTCGCCGCACCCTCACCGCGTCCGCGCCACCTCCGGGGCACGCGTAACGATTCCCCTGCTCGTGGCTCCGAGCGCGCGCTCGAGGAGAAGCGACCAGCACCCTCGCGGTAACCCTGGGGCTCTCGGGGTCGCAGGGGCCGGGGGCGGGGGAACCGCCGAACCCTACAAACGAGCTCAAAGCGCGGGGACGTTGTCGCGAACGGGCCGGGTCGACGAGAAACTCGTCCGTCCAGTGAACGGAGGCCTTGAGCCGTGCGCGTTTGTGGGGTCCACCGCTGTCGGGGGTGGCTTCGTTCGTCGCGTGCCTTGTACCGTGGCCTGCGTGGTGCCGCCACCCTTCGTGCCGCCACCCTGCGTGCCGCCACCCTGCGTGCCGCCACCCTGCGGCCCCCGTGGCTCGACGCCGTCCGCACTGCGCCCTCCTGCTCGGTGCAGACGGCGCGGCGTGGAATCCGCGAGCCGCGCTGGAAATCGCTCGGGGGAAGGAATTATTGACGTGACACCGACGGTGCAATTAGAGTAACATTGGAAATAAATACGCCAAATATTAAAAAAAACTGGGCCGGTTGCGTAACATGTTAAGTATTATTGAACCTATTTACATGATAAAGGGACGTTAATTTTATTATCTATGTAACCCCAGCCCCTGACCTCACTGCGAGCAAAATGAAATGACAGGTCATGCTGGCGTTGGTGGTGATGGTGTAGAGAATTTCAGCAGAACCTCCATCTCTGCCTCATAGACCTGGTCAAGGCCTATGATGGCATCAATAGAGCAGGGCTCTGGGTTTTTCATGCTTTCAGGGTCCCTGACTGCTCACAATCATTAAGGACCTGGATAAAGCTGCGTGTCGGAGCCATTCCCTATTCAACTTGGGGTGCGACAGAGATGTACTCTGGCCCCTACACTATTTAACATATTTTTAAACATAGTTCGATAAGCTTTTCATGGCTATACCAGAGGAATTCGTGTCTGGCACAGGATACAATGGGAGCCTGATTGATAGCCAGGGTTGTCAAGGGATGGCTCCCTTCCGGTCAACCATGTTGCGTACGCTGATGATCTGGTAATTCCTGCTCACTCTTGAGTTGGAGACACCACTGCTGAACGTGGGAGCCCCACAAAATAGAGCACCTGCCTGGGTGTTTTATGTTGGTTTCATACCCCCACCCCTCAACTCACCATGAGTACTGGGGCAGTTGTGGAGAAGTTCCTGTACCTGGGCAGTGTCATTACCAACTCTGGTTTGGCAGCAGAGGTCTCCAAATCAGTCGAGTGGCATTGTCTTGTCATCAGCTCTAATGCTGTGTGGAAGCTGCCTGGCCTTTAGCACCATACGAAGCTCCGTATCTTAAATTTAGATTTAAAGCTTTCATGACTGCAGGGATTCATCTTCTTGGTTCTTTCGGTAAAGTCACATAGAAGGGAAATAATAAAATAATAAAAATAAAACATTTAATAATTCTCACGACGTTTCGGCCACAACGCAAGCAGCCGTCCTCAGGTGAAGACCAGGTCTGTCGGGGAGACAGCGTCTGACGCTGTCTCCCCGACACCTGAGGATGGCTGCTTGCGTTGTGGCCGAAACGTCGTGAGAATTATTTTATTATGTTTTAATTTTATTATTTCCCTTCTACGTGACTTTACCGAAAGAACCAAGAAGCTCCGTATCTTCTCGGCCACCGTTATGCCCTCCCTTTTTTCTATGCTTGCAAAACGTGGAGCCCTTAAAAATAACATCTGCAGCAGTTCGAAACATTCAGGCTGACCTGCCTTCGATCCATCTCGGGTTTAAACGATCTGGATTATGTGAGGAGCTCACGCAGATCGTTAAATGATTTGGACAGTCCCATCGGCTCCTTTAGGCAAGGCTGCATTGGCTGAGTCATGTAGCTCACATGCCCAGCCGCTGCATGCCCAAGCAACTTCTGTTTGGCCAGATAGAGGGAGCTAAACGGGCACGGTTTGGGCTCGACTAGAAATGGGCTGATGTGGTACAGGAGGATGTGGAGCCGACTGGACATCTGTAAAAAAAAGAACTTCATAGCTCATCGGATTCCGGCAGGCTAAAGATTCTCATTCGGACTTGCCGATGACCGGTACCAGCCGTGTCCATGTGGCCTCTGGAAGAGGCTCGTGAAGGACGCTGCTTCTGGGCAGTTGGGGGCAGTCGGCCCGTCAACAGCAGAGGGCAAAGGGGCGACGCTCACAACAACGAGCGGAGCGCCAGGCGGCTAAAATGCAGTGAGGTGTTGCCTATGTCAGTCATTTTAGTTCACCCATAACCACCTGGGTATGTCCTTTGAGACCACAGTGTTATTGATGAACGTGTTGAGTGTTGTTGTCTGTGCACCACCGCCAACGCAGCAGCGTTCCCAGATAATTTGTGTGATCTTGTAATGGTTTTATCCAATTTCATTGTAGTTTTTATAGGCCGTGTTGGGCATTAGGGGCGCGCGAGCTGGTTCGGGTCGTCGGAGGGTGCAGCGGCAGGCTTGTGACGTCCATAGTTTAACTCGCACCTCGCGACGTCGGACGTGGGATTTTTGCCTTTTTAACTTCCAGGATTGTTCAGGGCTTTGCTGAAATCTGCAATAGTTGTTTTTGTCTGCGTGTGTGTGTGTGTTTTAAGAGGTTTTTTTTAAAGAAAAAATCTTTTTTAATATCAACGTCGCTTCCAAATGACACCCCAAGACTTGAATGTAACGTACCGTGGGAATTCCGTCAAACTCTGCCAAACGCCGGGACGAAGCCATCGACTCTTGGGCCAGTTTATTGCGGCGTGGGCCGCGCGTGGCCGCGCTGGGTTACGTCTCGCCCACCTGCACCTTCCTAGGGGCTACAGCCCCCTTACCACCCGCCACAGTTCCGCATCGAGCGTGAGCCAATGAAACAGTGGGGGGGGGGGGGTGAAGGAAAGGAACGGATGGAGTCGATTTTTTTAGAAGGGGAAATTCGCGAGATCGATGGGAAGCAAGGCCGTAATTATAATATATATTTGGGGGGGCACACACATCCCCCCAATAATCAAATATGCTCAAAATGTCCCCCCCCTAATATATTGCTATAAAACAGATTTCTGTTCATATGATTGTGGTTATGGTTGTACTTTATTCATCTCTAATATCTGCCATTACATACAATGAAACAAGAAAATGTAAAAAAGAAAAACGGAGCAATGTAATACAATACACTATTAGACATTGTAAAAAATACGGTAAATAAAAAGTCCATCCTATGTGTTAGTGAATTTTTAAATATTTTAGGCATGAAATGGCAGGAAATTCGTTTTTAAATTTAGATTTTTTTTTCTGGGGGGGAGACCCCCAGACCCCCTGGAAGATTTGGGTCCCCCCCCAATGTTGACTCCATGGCTACGGCCCTGGTGGGAAGGGACGGAAGATAGGGGAGTGATGGAGAAAGATTGTTGAGGGTTAAAAGTAGTTGACGGGGAGGGGGGCGACGGACAGGATCGAGCGTTTTTCCACCGCATTGGGAGCGCGAGCCAGCGTCCACAACGCCCCCCCGAGACGATGGCCGTGATTCCGCACCGCCGATTGTGTTTTGCAATAAACGATGATATGTTCGATTACGATTGTTCGGGAAAAAAAAATCAGTTTTTTCCCCAGGCCGTTGCCAACCATCCCACAAAAGCGAATTGCACAATCCTGGAGCTTCTGCGGGTGTCCTCCACTCGGGCGCGTCGCCATCTCCGGCTCCTGGGCTGCCAGATGCTGTCGGCAAAAGCCCTCCCAGCTTTAAACGACGGGACACTGCTGAACGAAAAGGGCAATGCAGTAGACTCACGATAACCTGTGTGTGGTTTTTTCCCGATTTGCGGATTAACTGCGCACCTCAGATTATTTTTTCCCTTAAAGCCCAAATGAATCATCTAAAAATAGTTGTACATTGCTTCTAGATTTGAAGCTTTCGTGACTGCAAGGATTCATACGCTTAGTTTTTCGGTAAAGTCACGTAGGTAAAAAATGAAATGAAAATTAATACATTTTTATTTTATTTTTAATTTTTATTTCATTTTGTACATTGTTATTCTTGGAAATGTTTACTACAAGTCGCGTGTGTAAACCAAACAAATGTGTTGCTCCGGTGATTCTGACATCCACGTGATCGCTCTACAGTACAGTAGTTGCATATCTTTACAAAAGTGGGGCGGAGTTTGATTGATGTTGATTGCTGTGGCTCTGCTGTTATCCACTTGGTGGGCCGAACCTTCTGCCGGGCAGGAGCAGGAAAGTGTTATCACTGAGCACGCGCATCGATCGGTCGATCGTTTCTGTTCGTTCTAAATCGAAAGTCACAATCGAAATCGTCAGTTGTGCTTCATTTCGAGTGATTTTTTTTTATCATTTATATTACGAGTTTTAATTTACGAAAACTGCAATGGCAGAGACACTTAAACGTAATGTATCCATGTATTTGTGGTTTTTGGCATAGATATCCTCGGAAAATGGATATTTTTGGATTATCTGCTATTTAAAATAATCAGCGGCTCTCTTCTCCGGCATTAGCGCGGATAATCGAGGGTTTACTGTAGTTTTCTAAATCATGTCACCCCCCCCCCAATCGAAATGCCTCCTTCCTGCCCCTTGTGAAAACAGATGCTGCTTCACCGTGCGGCTTACTTATCTCTGTACTAATACTGGTAGGAACCTCCTGGTTACACCAGCCCACAGGGGATTATTGTGTCCGGCCGTCCGTCGTGTAGGGAGGGGCTGGGTGGGGAGGGAGGGGCTGGGTGGGGAGGGTGGGGAGGGGCTGGGGTGGGGAGGGGCTGGGTGGGGAGGGGCAGGGTGGGGAGGGTGGGGATGGTCTCGGTGGGGAGTGTGGGGCTGGGTCCGGGGTGGGAGGGGTGGGGCTGGGTGGGGAGGGGCTGCTCACCCCGTGGTGCCCTTATAAAACTCAACGTTTAACCTACTCACGCCGGCTTGTGCCCGCCCTCGCAGTCGGGCATATTTGTGGAATACACCACGCCGCCGTTGACCCTGGCCATCGACCGAGCAACCCAACGTTCCTACCAGCTCCCTCTGCAGGAATCTGTTTTTACCAGGTCAAGCCTCACCACTCAGCAAAATATCTCTCTATTAAAAGCGACCTGTCAACAAATGAAATTCACAGCATCCCAAATACTATTAAAAACACGTCGATTTTAAATGACGGAAAAACTGTTGAAAATCTACGGGGAAAGATGCAAACTCCAAATATACAGACGTCAGGGTCGGGATCGAACCCATGAACCTCCCATCATCAACCTCTCGTCCACCAAAATGTCGTCTCGGTCATTCCCTCCTCTCTCCTTCCTGCCTAGCGCTCCTTTTGTCCAGCTGCTCATCTTGAGCCGTGCCCTCCGTCTGCCTTGGGGGTCTTCTGGCCCTGTCTGCTGCTCTTTTCTCTCTCTCTCGCCTATCCCAGTTCCTTTCCACGTTTCCCCATTCACGATTTCGTTGACTCTGCTGCGTATCCTCCTGCCAGGCGTTTGTCGTGGGTACAAAGGTTGCGTTGGACGCAAACTTGCGTTTTGTTTGAGCAAGCATTGGTCCCATTCTGTTTAGCATCGACATGGGCCCCATTTGGAGCACTGCTATGATTTCTCGGGCCGCGCTAAGGGGCCGTTCATAAATGACGTCACGTAACGGGGGGGGGGGGGGGTCAGACATTTGTGACGAGGGGGGGGGGGGGGTTGAGAAATGTGACGTCACATCAAAATGCGCAACTTTAAATAAATATAGACAAAACGTTCTACGTAATGAAATATAATTTTTGATTAATGTTACCTCCTACAACATCAGAGTGCAGCGCCACATTAAATACGCACTACAATGACAATAGTTTAAAGCGATTTGAAGCATGTTTTATTTTGGGGGGGGGGGGCGGACAGCTTTGTGACGTCATTTGAGGGGGGGTCTGACAACACCGCTGTGCAGGTGACACCATAATTTACCTCCAGCGAACACCAGATTCGATGTCGGCAACATCTCTGCTTTCGTGGTCATGAATGACTGTAAAATCATTACCTACTATAATCACCCAGAAATGTCTGTCCGTCCCGCGCGTGACGTCACTCCACATGAGGCCCACCCCCCCTCATTAGTATTCATGAGTGGGTGGATTTTTACACGAACTGAATTCAATAATTGATTACGCAAAGTCATGACGTTTTTTTACAGAAAGTGACGGTAAAAAATAAATCTACTCAGCACAGTGCTGCATCCGTGCGTGACGTCACTGCAAAAGAGCCCCCCCCCCCCCTTCATTAATATTCATGGCCGCGTGGAAATTTACACGAACGCACAAGAAGGTCACGCACTCCACATGCCGCACCCCTCCCCAATAACCATTGATCGGGTGACGTCACTCCACATGGGGCAACCCCCCATTAATAATCATGAGCGGGTGACGTCACTCCACATGCCGCACCCCTCCCCAATAACCATTGAGCTGGTGACGTCACTCCACATGGGGCAACCCCCCTCATTAATAATCATGAGCGGGTGACGTCACTCCACATGCCGCACCCCTCCCCAATAACCATTGAGCTGGTGACGTCACTCCACATGGGGCAACACCCCCCCCCCCCCCTCATTAATAATCATGAGCTGAACAATTTTTCTATTTTACTAATTTTTCTATTGAATATTTCAGATTTACTGCAATTTTCATCCGTCCTTGGACGGGCAAAAAATCTAGTGGATGAAGATTTTTTTCTCTCCAGCTAAATGACAATAAGGGGCCGTCCATAAATGACGTCACGCACCTGGGGGGGGGGGGCGTTTGAGAAATGTGACGTCACATTAAAATGCGCAACTTAAAATAAATATATAATTGTTTTACCAACACTAATTGTTATAACAACACTCCTACAACATCAGAGTGCAGCGCCACATTAAATACGCACTACAATTACAATAGTTTAAAGCGATTTGAAGCATGTTATATTATCAAAATGGAAATATGGTTTTGGGGGGGGCAGAGCTTTGTGACGTCATATTTGAGGGGGGGGGGCTGACTTTGTGACGCCGTGTGACAAGCGGGGGGGGGGTCAAAAATCGTCCAAAATCGCGTGACGTCATTTATGGACGGCTCCTAAGACCAAACTCCTCTTTGTGAGCTCTCCGCAACAATTAAAAAGAAACTGGGACTTTTCAGCCGAGTTATTGATGGCCAGGACATCTGCCCGAAGCATGAGATAAAGTAATCTTGGGATTAGATGTCCGATCCGTTCCTTTCTTTCGAATCTCACGTTCATAAGGTTGTGAAAACCTCGGTTGTTTTTAAATCCTTTATTAAATCCTTTATATTAAGTTCGCTTGCTTGCTTGCGTGCTTGCTTGCTTACGACCGTGCAAATCTTTCGGTCGTTTTTAAACCCACTTTCCGTGATCCAATCGAGCTGACATTTTGCACACAGACTCGTTGTGCGTGACAATTAATGTTTGTGAAATTTTTTTTCCAAAATTTTACACTTTTTAGGACAAAAATATTATTTAATTACCAATTGCTTAATGGTACAATGCAATCATCTGACCCATAGGTGGCAGACATCTCAAGCCAGAGGACGAGAGGACTCTAGCCGCCACGCATATAAAGGATTTATAGTGAAAAACTTTGTTTTTACTGGTTATACTTATATTAAGTTCGCTTGCTTGCGTGCTTGCGTGCTTGCTTGCTTATGACCGTGCAAATCTTTCGGTAGTTTTTTAACCCACTTCCCGTGATCCAATCGAGCTGACATTTTCCACACAGACTCGTTGTGCGTGACAATTAATTTTCGTGAAAATTTTTTTCCAAAATGTTACACTGTTTAGGGAATTTTTAAAAAATATTTAATTACCAATTGCTTAATGCTGCCAGACAATCATCTGACCCATAGGTGGCAGCCATCTCAAGCCAGAGGACGAGAGGACTCTAGCCGCCACGCATATAAAGGATTTATAGTGAAAAACTTTGTTTTTACGGGTTAATTTTTTTCATCTCAGAAATATTTATTTCTCGACTGCACGACATCGTCACACCGGCTGATTCCGAGAGGCTGGTGATCCATACACGTGGCCTCTCGCGAATCGATTACTGCAGTGCCTCGTTTCAAATACGCTCCTTGCTACGTAGACTACACATTGTTCAGACTGCGGCAGCGAGGTTGGTGACCAGAAACCCCATTTACGTGACCACATTTCTCTTATCATTACCCTGGCTTGCGGTCTCGAAACGAGTCGAGTTTAAACACATTCCTGCGGAGGGAGCTGGTAGGAACGTTGGGTTGCTCGGTCAATGGCCAGGGTCAACGGCGGCGTGGTGTATTCCGCAAATATGGCCGACTGTGAGGGCGGGCACAAGCCGGTGTGAGTAGGTTAAACGTTGAGTTTTATAAGGGCACCACGGGGTGACCTGCCCCTCCTCACCCAGCTCCACCACTCCCACCCCCATCCAGCCCCACCCAGCCCCTCCCCTCCCTCCACACCCAGCCCCTCCCCACCCTGCCCCTCCCCTCCCACCCCCCACCCAGCCCCACCCTCCCCACCCCTCCCACCCCCACCCAGCACCACCCTCCCCAGTCCCCACCCTCCCCACCCAGTCCCTCCCCACCCTCCACACCCAGCCCCTCCCCACCCTGCCCCTCCCCTCCCTCCCCCCACCCAGCCCCACCCTCCCCACCCAGCCCCACCCTTCCCACCCCCACCCAGCACCACCCTCCCCAGTCCCCACCCTCCCCACCCAGCCCCTCCCCACCCAGCCCCTACCCACCCTCCCTACCCAGCCCCTCTCCACCCAGCCCCACCCATCACATTTTTGGATGCACGACGGACGGACGGACACAATAATCCCCTGTGGGCTGGTGTAACCAGGAGGTTCCTACCAGTAGAACCTTCTAGTTTTTAAAGCTGCGGGGGGCGGGGGGGGGGGCTGCGTGCGGGGGCTTGGGGGCGGGGCGTGTGGATGGTGCACCACGTGTTTCCGGCGAGGGCTGTCAGCTGACAGCGCTACACACGTGTGTGTGTGTCTGTGTGTGTTGTCCGTGTGTTGTCCGTGTGTGTCGCCCGTGTGTCCGTGGCGATGTCGCCGACTCTGACCCCGCCCGTGCTGTGGGCGCAGCGCCACGACTCGGTGTCCCTCAAGGTGGACCTCAAGGAGGTGTCGGTGAGAGGCGAAGGCCGCCACGGGGAAAGGCCGCGACGGGGCTAGGCCCGGATCGCGACCTTCACTGATTCATTCATTCTACAGCGGCAGCAGCGAGCCCAGCCTGACACGACACACACATCACACACCTACACCACATCACACACATCACACCACACACACCACACATCACATCACACCACACACATCACACACCTACACCACACACATCACACCACACACATCACACACACCACATACACCACACACACACATACACCACACACACCACATACACACATCATACACCTACACCACACATCACACACCTACACCACACACATCACAAACACCACACACACCACACACATCACACACCTACACATCACACACCTACACCACATCACACACCTACACCACACACATCACAAACACCACACACATCACACACCACACCACACACATACACCACACACATCACATACACACCACACACATCACACACCACACACCCATACACCACATACACACCACACACACGACACACCCTAACACCACACACATCACAAACACCACACACGTCACACACATGTCACACACATACACCACACACACCACACACACCACACACACACCACACACATACACCACACACACATCCCACACATACACCACACACACCACATACACACCACACACATCACACACCACACACACTACATATCACACACACCACACACACCACATACACCACACACACATCACACACACCACACACATCACACACCTACACCACACAACACACATACACCACACACATCACAACACACACCACACACCCAAACACCACACACATCACACATACACCACACACACCACACACACACAACAAACCACATACACCACACACACCACACACATCACACACCACACACATCACACACCTACATACACATCACACCACACACATACACCACACACCTACACCACACACACCACACACACAACACCACACGAATAGGCTATCGCTAGTGCGACCAGTTGACAATGCGACCGAATCGCTTCTAGGCAGAAACCCAGCAGCACATTGCGCCAACAACACTGTGACCCTTCAAGGAAGGGAACGCGGATACGACATTGCGTGTGCTGTGTAATCATCAATGTTGTAGAACGTGAAGGGCCATCGCCCCGAAACGTCGGCTATATTTATTTAGCCCCCCTCCCTTGCAAGGCCACGCGATGTTGTTGTTGGCCTGTTTGCCGGGTAATGATAATAATGTATGATAACATTTATATCGCAGCTTTTCATCGATGATCTATCAATGCGCTGTACAGGACACAAGCAGCAGCAGCAGCAGCAGATTTGTCATACAAATCATGCAAATACATTTTAAAATAATTTACGAAATGCACTAAACGTTTAATACGCGGAAGTGTATACTGTATATAAATAGGTTTTAATTTGCATTTGGGTGGTTGCAGGTGGTCAGTGATGGGGCACTTGGTGCTGCTGCTGCTGCCACCGTGTGAGAGGCAATCTCACAAGTTGGACTCAAAGTGCACCTAGCCTGGCACTGACGCCGTGGGGACGTCATCGCTACTTGGTGGCGAATGGCGGTTGTGGTGGTGGGTGCCTCGCCTTGGCAAACGAGAGGGAGGGTTAACCTTGAGCTTGGCTGCTGAGCCAGAGGCGTTCACAGATAAGGCTGGATGAATCAAGGTCCCCATTGCACAATCCGGGGCGCCGCGGTGGCTAGGAGATGTTAACTACCTCGCCTGGTGTGCAGGAGGTCGTGGGTTCGATCCCGACCCTGACCCCTGCTGCTGTATATTTTTAGTTTGTGTGTCTCTCTCTCTCATCATCATCACGGTGGCTAGGAGATGTTGACTCCCTCACCTGGTATGCAGGAGGTCATGGGTTTGATTCCGACCCTGGCGATGACTGCTGCTGTATATTTGGAGTTTGCGTGTCTCTCTCATCATCATCACGGTGGCTAGGAGATGTTAACTACCTCGCCTGGTACACAGGAGATCGTGGGTTTGATCCCGATCCTGACGGCTGCTGCTGTATATTTGTAGTTTGCGTGTCTCTCTCATCATCATCATCACGGTGACTCGGAGATGTTAACTACCTCGCCTGGTAGGCAGGAGGTCGTGGGTTCGATCCCTACCCTGGTGCATGCTGTGTATTTGGAGTTTGCGGTGTCTCTCATCATCATCACGGTGGCTAGGAGATGTTAACTACCTCGCCTGGTATGCAGGAGGTCGTGGGTTCGATCCCACCCCTGGTGCTTGCTGCTGTATATTTGGAGTTTGTGTGTCTCTCTCTCATCATCATCATCATCACGGTGGCTAGGAGATGTTGACTACCTCGCCTGGTAGGCAGGAGGTCGTGGGTTCGATCCCGACCCTGACGCCTGCTGCTGTATATTTGGAGTTTGCGGTGTCTCTCTTTCATCATCATCATCATCACGGTGGCTAGGAGATGTTGACTACTTCGCCTGGTATGCAGGAGGTCGTGGGTTTGATCCCGACCCTGGCGATGACTGCTGCTGTATATTTGAAGTTTGCAGTGTCTCTCCCTCCGTGGTCGTTTGGATTTTTCTCCTCTACGGGGCCTCCGGTTTTTCCCCTCCACATTTACAATCAACACGCGTTGGAGTATTTCGCCTGCTATAAATGTCCACGCGGTGGTGATAAGCCTCTTCGTCCAGCTATCATTCGTGATGGCCAGCTCGCTGCTGAAGAGCGATACAACTCAGTAGGGGTCCTCCTTACACCTTGGCAAAATAAAAACATAGACCAGACCGGGACCTGGTCCCATCGTCCACTCTGAAGCAGCTGGCTTGTGCAGCAGCAGCAGAAGAAGGAAGCGATGGTGAGTCGTGTCGACTGTCAGTGCCATCAAGCCGGCGTGACGGAGTCGTCTTCTTATTCCCAGAAGTGTAGTTAAGTAAAAACAAAACAACAACAACTTCTTGGTTCTTTCGGTAAAGTCACGTAGAAGGGAAATAACTAAATAATAAAACTAAAACATAAGAAAATTATGTTTTATTTTTATTATTTTAATAAAATTATGTTTGTTTTATTTTTATTATTTTATTATTTTCCTTCTACGTGACTTTACCGAAAGAACCAAGAAGATGAATCCCTGCAGTCACGAAAGCTTTAAATCGAAAAACAACAACAACCCCATATTCTTGGTTCTTTCGGTAAAGTCACGTAGAAGGGAAATACTATTATTGTATTATTTACCTTCTACGTGACTTTACCGAAAGAACCAAGAATATGAATCCCTGCAGTCACGAAAGCTTTAAATCGAAACAACAACATCAACCCCATTTTGTATTCGTAGCTTCTTCTGTGCTCGAGTCCCCAGAGAATGGAGGAGGCGAGGGAGAGGGTGGCGACGAGGGAGGGAGGGAGGCAGGGGCCGGGTGGGACCTGTTCTGGACTGTTCTTGCCTGCTGCTTACTCGGGTTGCTGGGGATCAAGGGCGGTTCTCAGACAAAAGACATTGCCTTGTTTTATTGATTAATGCAGGGACCTGTTTAATAGTCTTGGCATTTCGGGACCCCCCCCTCCGCCCCCCCACTCTGACCTGGGCTGGTGCAGCTGCTGTGGTTGGTGTGGCCGGTGGGGCTGGTGGGGCCGGTTGAGACAGCGTGGTGGTGTGGCCAGGTCTGGCCTGGCCGTTGGGGCGGTGGGGCTGGGTAGAGTCCGGCGGGCCCAAAGTTGTGACATTTCTGGGTCTGTCGGGGCCGATGTGACCGGTGCAGCTGGTGTTGTCGGTGGGGCCGATGGAGACAATGTGGTGGTGTGGCAGAGTCTGGCCTGGCCGTTGGTGCCGGTGGGGCTGGGTAGAGTCCGGCGGGCCCAAAGTTGTGGCATTGCTGGGTCTGTCGGGGCCGATGTGACCGGTGTAGCTGGTGTTGTCGGTGGGGCCGATGGAGACAATGTGGTGGTGTGGCCGGGTCTGGCCTGGCCGTTGGGGCCGGTGGGGCTGGGTAGAGTCCGGCGGGCCCAATGTTGTGGCATTGCTGGGTCTGTCGGGGCCGTCGGGGCCGATGTGACCGGTGCAGCTGGTGTTGTCGGTGGGGCCGATGGAGACAATGTGGTGGTGTGGCCGGGTCTGGCCTGCCCATGGGGCCTATGGAGCTCTGGAGCCGGTGTGGCCAGCCTGGCCGGTGGGACTGTTGGGGGCAACGCGGTCGGGGTCTGACGAGGGCGATGGGGCCGCTGTGGCCGAACGGGGTCCGGTGTCCCTAACTCCGCAGGCCTCTCCCTTTCGCAGGAACATGAAGTGGAGTGCAGGGGCAAGACGATCGTCTTCAAAGGTACGCACAGGGCTGGCTCTCTCGCCCGTTTAACACAGGGCTGGCTCTCTCGCCTGTTTAACACAGGGCTGGCTCTCTCGCCCGTTTAACACAGGGCTGGCTCTCTCGCCCGTTTAACACAGCGCTGGCTCTCTCGCCCGTTTAACACAGGGCTGGCTCTCTCGCCCGTTTAACACAGGGCTGGCTCTCTCACCCGTTTAACACAGGGCTGGCTCTCTCACCCGTTTAACACAGGGCTGGCTCTCTCACCCGTTTAACACAGGGCTGGCTCTCTCGCCCGTTTAACACAGGGCTGGCTCTCTCGCCCGTTTAACACAGGGCTGGCTCTCTCGCCCGTTTAACACAGGGCTGGCTCTCTCGCCCGTTTAACACAGGGCTGGCTCTCTCGCCCGTTTAACACAGGGCTGGCTCTCTCGCCCGTTTAACACAGGGCTGGCTCTCTCGCCCGTTTAACACAGGGCTGGCTCTCTCGCCCGTTTAACACAGGGCTGGCTCTCTCGCCCGTTTAACACAGGGCTGGCTCTCTCGCCCGTTTAACACAGGGCTGGCTCTCTCGCCCGTTTAACACAGGGCTGGCTCTCTCGCCCGTTTAACACAGGGCTGGCTCTCTCGCCCGTTTAACACAGGGCTGGCTCTCTCGCCCGTTTAACACAGGGCTGGCTCTCTCGCCCGTTTAACACAGCGGTAGGGAACCTCCGGCCACCTTTGTCTCCCTCTAGGCAGGGCTGGGGAACGTCCGGCCCGCGGGCCGTATGAGGCCCGCGAAATCATTTGGTCTCTGGCCCTGCCAAGGCAACCGCAGGCGGGACTCGAAATTCAATACATCTAGGAGCAAACCTGGAAAAGCAGTTGCGAGTAGCAGCAACATCAACATTGGCTAACATCACACACGCCTCGCCAAAGAGAAGCAGTTACAGCCATCGCATTAGGGGTGGGTTAATTAAATGTTTGACCAAATATAACAGGCACATTTTAAAGTTGATAATGTTGTATGGCCCGCGAATGATGTTATAAATATCCAAATGGCCCTTGGCAGATAAATGGTTCCCCACGCCTGGTTTAACACGACATAGGAGGCTTTCGCGACCGATATCCATAGAGGTTTTTAGGTTCGGTCGCTTAAATATATAAAAGTCGTTAAACCCGCCACCACCCCATGCAGCCAACTCGTAAGGGTTGTCACGTGAACAGAACGTGCCAATTCGTGTGTTGCAGATCAAAGCCACTTAGATTGTAAATGTTGTGGTTATTGCTCTCCAACCCACCGGCGTGCTGGACTAGTGACGAATTGGCCACCCTGTTTACGTGACAACCCTTACTAGTTGGCTGTGTCGGGTGGTGGCAGGTTTATCGACACATTTTTTAGTTTACACGATCTAACCCAAAAAAGCCTGTATTATGGAGGGCTCTCATCGTCATCGTCGGCTTAATCGACTCCAACTTGAGATGAACCAGAATTGCCATGAGCACCGTTGCCGACAATCACACTCGCGCGTCTTCAAAGTCGTCTTCATCACCACGATCAGCATCTACAGAATCCATTCTTGGTTCTTTCGGTAAAGTCACGTAGAAGGGAAATAATAAAAAATACAAATAAAACATAAAATAATTCTCACGACGTTTCGGCCACAATGACGCTGTCTTTCTGACAGACATGTTCTTCACCTGAGGACGGCTGCTTGCATTGTGGCTGAAACGTCGTGAGAATAATTTTATGTTTTATTTTTATTATTTTATTATTTCCCTTCTACGTGACTTTACCGAAAGAACCAAGAATGAATCCCTGCAGTCACGAAAGCTTTAAATCCAAATCTACAGAATCATTAAAATCAACCACATCCATCATCACGGTCATGGAATTGGCCAAACATCCCGGCATCCAGCACTCTCCTGAAAATTATTCTTAGGACTTGGCGAGGCTTAGCAAAGGGTGTAGCCACTACTGCTGCTACTGTCTATGTTGCCATCGCCTGCATTTCCACCTCCATCACCGAAGACAAATATTCCCCCGTATAGCCTTAGCAGACTGTTGGAGCAAGTACTGTTGTTAGCGAGTAGCACCTATGAGAAAGCCGGCCACCTTTGTCTCCCGAGTGGCGATGATTACACGTCGCACCTGGTACTCATTTGAAGCCGAGTCGACCTAGGGGAGGCCCAGGACCGGTTTAGATAATCGTCGCGAGCGGGATTCGAACTCGAGTCGCCGGGTTCGTATCGCGTCGCGCTAACCTCTTGCACTTTACCGCTCCGCCGCCGCCGTCGCCACCGCCGTGGTCACCGTCACTGCCGCCACCACCGTGATCACCGCCGCTGCCGTGGTCACACGTGGTCACCAATGCCGCCGCCAACGCCGTGGTCACCGCCACCACCGTGGTCACCGCCACCGCCGTGGTCACCGCCACCGCCGTGGTCACCGCCACCGCCCACCCGCCAGGCTACGGCTACGGCGCCCAGGGCCAGAACCGCTACGGGTTCTCGCTGGAGCTGCTGGAGGCGGTGGAGACGCCGGCGGCGAGCGTGCGCGTCACGCAGCGCGAGGTCGCCATCACGCTGCGCAAGGCCGCGCCGGCCTGGTGGGCGCGCCTCACCAGCGCCGAGCGGCGCCCCAACTTTGTGATGCCCGACTTCGACCGCTGGATGGACGAGTCCGACGCCGAGGAGGAGCTGCGGCTCGAGGTGAGGCTTGGGGGTTGGGCGCGAGGAGACGGAACCCGGCCGCTCGCCAATGACGATGACGATAACGACGACGGTGATGACGATAACGATGATGAAAACGACGACGGTGATGACGACGGTGATGACGATAACGATGATGAAAACGACGACGGTGATGACGATAACGACGATGAAAACGACGACGGTGATGATGAAAACGACGACGGTGATGACGACGGTGACGACGATAATTGTTTTTTTACACTTCTATCTGGCAACAAAACTGACACCTTTTTTTTACGAGGAGTCATGTTTGCATAGACCACAATACCTGCAGTCACAATGCAAACAAAAAACACAACTCTGATAATGTATGCACTGTCCTTGAAGTTGATTGGTCCACACTCGAGACCGCTTTCCTTAGAGCCTAGTCTCACATGGTGCTGGCTCTAAGGAAAGCTGTAGTCTATGCAAACATGACACCTTGTAAAAAAAGGTGTCAGTTTTGTTGACAGATAAAAGGGTAAAAAACCAATTATAATGTTTACTGGCAAATGAGGTTCCAATGGTGTAAATGATGATGACGACAAGGATGACAACGTTGACAATGACGACGATGACAAGGATGATGACGACGATCACCTCGTCGTCGACGATGACCACTACGACGACGATGATGACAATGACGACGTCGCGATGAGAAGGGCCGATGGGAAGGGGAGGCGTGCGTGCGGGGAGGGTTGGTAGATCACCGCGCAAATGTTGTGAAACTCCCTTCCCCCCCGCGGCTGGCTGTCGAGGAGGAGCCGTAGCCAGTCTCTGGCAGGAGAAGGCGGTCACAGCAAAAGCGTGGACTGTGCACCTGTTCCCTCTGTACGAGATAGAGCGTTTCCCCCTCGCACGTGGCTTTTCTGCGGACGCTGCGGTTTCCTCCCCGCATGTATAAACGCTCATTAATCGGCGGATAAACCAGCGTGCGTAGTGGACCATACAGCATGGGCGAAGGTTGGCGCCGGCTAGTCACCTGGCCACTGCTGCCTCTCCCGCTCGTCCGTGCCCCCCCCCCCCCCCCCCCAGCGCCTCCAAGTCATTCTCGGTCTGTTCGAGAGCGATGAGCGGATACTCTTTTTAACTCGACTAAACAATTTTTATTTTACCAGGTAAGGCCCCCACTGAGCCACGCAGCTCTTGTTTCGGGAAGCGACAAACGAGAGAGCCCAACGAAGTGGCTCGTCGCGCGGACATTTATAGCGGCGAAATACTCTTAAAGCGCGCGTTGAAATACTCTAAACCAGGGGTGGGGAACCTTTTTTCTGCCAAGGTCTATTTGGATATTTATAAAGTCATTCGCGGGCCATACAAAATTATCAACTTCAAAATTAGACTATTATATTTGTGTAATAAAGCTCGTTGAGACGACTTCTGGAATCCGTCTTTTATTCAACTTATGTTACAGTTACTTCACGCTGCTGACAGGCAGCGTGAGAGGGACAGATAGAGAGAGAGAGACGCACTGCCACGTGGCAACTCGGAGCCCCGCTCCCGCGTGGCCCCCTTCCTCCGTTCGTTCCCGTTCTGACCACGTGTCGTTCGTCTCCACCCCTATTTAATACCCGGGTCACGTGGTACGTTTCCGCCAATCCTCGTTAGCCTGCATCGAATCTTCCAGGCTCCCTCGTCAGCTCCCGGGACCACGCCCCTGACTCGTCTCCCCATTGGCTGAGGCCAAAGCCAGCAGAACCAATCCTTACAGCTGTCACCTTTCCATGACGTCAGGGCCACGCCCCTAGGCTTCCCCCCATTGGCTGTAAACCAGAACCGGCAGAGCCAATCACCATGACGAGTTGTGATACGTCAGTGAGCCGGATATATCCTCATATTACATTTGGTCAAGCATTTAATTAACTCGCCCCTAATGTGATGGCTGGAACAGACCAAATGGTTTTGCGGGCCTTGTACGGCCCGCGGGCCGGACGTTCCCCACCCCTGATCTAAACGCACCTGGATTTTTACCCCCGCAAGGCCCAGAGAGAAATATCCACGCGACCACGGTGAGCACGTGCACACTCCAAATGCCCGGCGTGCGGCGACGGCGCGTTGTCCGTGACGGGCGGTGACGGTTCTGCCGCCGTGTCCCCGCCTGCAGGAGATGAAGAATATCGGGAAGGTCACCGTGGAGTCGCGCGTCCGCAAACACCGTGAGCTCCGTCCCCGCATCCCCGGCGCAAAGCCACGGAGCGCAGATGGTGGCGGTGGGACTGGTGGTGGTGTGGTGGTGGTGGTGTGGTGGTGGTGGACTGGTGGTGTGGTGGTGGTGTGGTGGTGGGACTGGTGGTGGTGGTGTGGTGGTAGTGTGGTGGTGGTGTGGTGGTGGTGTGGTGGTGGTGTGGTGGGATGGTGGTGTGGTGGTGGGACTGGTGGTGGTGTGGTGGTGGTGGGACTGGTGGTGGTGTGGTGGTGTGGTGGTGGGATGGTGGTGTGGTGGTGGGTCTGCTGGTGGGACTGGTGGTGTGGTGGTGGTGGTGTGGTGGTGGGACTGGTGGTGGTGGTGTGGTGGGATGGTGTTGTGGTGGTGGTGTGGTGGAATGGTGT